CAAATAAATAATTTAAAAAAAAATAAAAAAATAAAAATAAAAAAAATAAATAAATAAAAAAATAAAAATAAACCTACAAGAAGGGAGAATAACCCCCCAAAATAAGTCGAAAAGTTCACATTTCTCCTTGGGACTTGGGAAGTTTGTGCCTATATGGGAATCTCTAAACTGTCTTTGAAAGGTATTTTAGACAGGCACTAAATACGAAAGTACTTCAAAACATTCATGGAAAGATTCATATTATCTTTTAATTCTATTTTCCACAGACTTCTTGAAGAACCCTCGTATTAAGCACCTTTCTGGTCCAGTTAACTCAGTTGATTAAACATGGTATGGATGAGTCCATGAATATAGCAAAGGTCTATTTCCTGGCCTCTTAACCCTGCCCCTAAGTCTGGCCGACTAGGCTTTAAGCTGTGTGACTTTGTTCCACAGGCAGTCTGTGGGTAAGATAGTGGTTTGTCCAGGGGTACTGTTGAAAACAACTCAAAGTCCTTTCCCAATGATGGTGAACTAATGACATTCTTTTTATTATGAGCATTAAATGAGATAGTGAATGTGAAAGCTCCTAGCAGAGTGCCTGGAATGCTCCAAAAATGTTTCTTTTGCTTGACTTCCCTGCCTCAGGCTATGTATCCTAGGTTTGCTATGGAAGGGAAGGTGTAGAGTCAGCAATTTTGAAAATTTGAGAAGGAAGCAGGAGTGAGGGCCATTGGCCCAAAGCCAAAGTCATTGGCCTTCCTTCTTTATAACCCTGGCATTCTTCTTGAATTCTGAAGTGGTGATGGTGAACTAAAATAGCAGAGAGCAGCAGATTAGATAACTGACATTTCTCTCATGCTGATTCAATCATGTAAACTACCATTATTGTAGAGCTCTGAAGCCACACCAGCTGCCCTCATCTCTGCCCCTTAATTTCCACCTAAGCTTTTCCTGTCCTGGAGCCCAGGCTCCCCCCAACACTGCCCTTTACTTTTAAGCTCTTATTGTTCTGTCGTTGGTGGAAGGGACCTTACCACCTTTTGAAAATTAATGGTAGGGCTGGCCAGTTAGTTCAGTTGGTTAGAGCACTGTCTTATAACACCGAAGTCATGGGTTCAGATCTCTGTACCGGCCAGCCACTCCCCCCCCAAAAAAAAGAAGCAGTGTCCTTATTAAATGTTTATCGTTTCAGGCCCTGGTAAAATGCCCTGTGGCTTTGTGCTCTTTGCATGGGGATAGGCAGCAGCACATCAATGCGACTGTGCCTGCCCACTTCATTGTGTCCCTGAACCAACAAGAGAAAGGAACTTATTTTAATATAAGTTAAACCCAGTGGAGCTTAAACCCTAAGGATCTAGAAGTCGCTTTAACTTTCAACTGAAATTATTTGCCTGGCAGCTCTCTGTGAATGACCTATTTTCATTATCAGATTCTTACTCTTTTCACCATGCGTTATATGGTTGTTGGAGCTTCTGAGTGAATCTCGAGTACAGTAAGTTAAAAATAAAAAGAAAGCTCTTGAAGTGCTTGCTCTAGTGTCCTATACCCCTTATTGCTCCCAAACTTTCTTCTTTCCTCAGGGCCAGAGGCGGAAGAATTTGGGTGATTACCTGCTCTTATGCTGTTAGAAAGCAAAAGAGAGACCATAGATTTAGTGTTTGGCAGGAAGTGGGGAGGCAGCTTCTGGAAGAACAATGATCCGCTTAACCGAGTTTTGGATTTTACCTCTTGTTCCTTGGGCCAAGATCAAATATAGTGTTAAGTAGGGATATTTTTTCCGTTTTTCAGGATTTTTGGAAGCTCCCCAAGTTATTTTCGCCAGATCCAAACCCTTGCCCACACAATCTGGAGCCCTTGCTACAGTTATAGGACAGAAAAAATCAAAGTCGGTGAAGTCAGGGCCAATTTAAGGTAACAGTAAAAAATAAGAGCATATTTTTAATATATAATAATCACTTGCTGACTTTATGCTATGACAAGAGACTTAATAGCTATCAAGGGAAATGATAGATTCTCAAAATGACAGTGAAATTGGGACTTTATAAAACCAAAGCTCCGAAGGACTCTCAAAGCTGTGAAGTCAAAGTTGAGCTACAAGTAGCTTGCTCCTATAATGGTTTACCAGTAGGTGGCGCTGTAGCAGTAAGAAATTTCTCTGCTGATACTAGAGCCTTTTGTTTCAAAATATGGGGACTTTGAGACAAATCAGAGAAAGAAACTAAAGCTATAATTGAGTTATCACAGGTAAAGTGTAACA